GACTATGGCTTACATGCATTCCATGTCTTCTTTGGAACTGTACCCCAGCAATCTGATAAGTATGTGATTGAAATGTAGTCCTTTGATTTATATAGATCATGTGGATTTCGTTTGTGCTTATAGTCCCATTGTTTCCTGTTTTTCCCTTTTTGTTTTTCTTTTTTCAGCATAATCAATGATAGTGGTGTGTATGCTATAAAGAATCTAGAGCATTTTGAAGTCCATCTGAATATATTGGAGAAGTACACCGAAGATGATATTAGTCAACTTCGCATCAAACTTGTTAATGACATGGTTTTCAATGAATACAATAGTGCATATGATGGTACATGCAAAGTGAAGGAGGTAATATTAGTTCCAACGTCACTTTGTTTATTATAACTTCACATTTTTGAATCTGATTGTTTGTTTCTATTTTTTTCTTTCTCAGGTCTTTGGCAATTTGAATCAGGGAGCATGATTTGAGGCTTGTCTCTAGATCTTGTGTTTAGGTCAATATAGGGTGTAGGTTCTTGCTATGCGTACATGCCACTTTGTAAAGAAGTAGCTAGTTTGGTGAGAGCATTTGATGCTAAAGTGGTTGTAAATTTTAATATACATTGAAGAGGCTAAAGTAAACAAGATGATAATATTATGTTGGATTGCTGATGTTAACTCTTTTGTACCCATTATTCTAGTTTTATGGTTTTCTCTATAAGTGTTTTTTGTTGTGTACTACTAACCTTTTATAGGGAAGACAAGGAGAAGTTTGAGGGTTGTGCATGTTTCTCTTGTCTTCTTGTTTATAGATAGTTCAATTGGGTCTTGTGTTATATTATTATGAGTTTGATTTTGTTCTTATAGACCAAGATGTTGAAGTATGACTTTTATGCATGGATACTAGAAGCACCATGAGGGTACGTGGTCAGTTAAAGTCCAACCAGCATCTTATTGAGATCCTTTGTCCTCAGTACCATGGCAACATGTGAGTTTTGCATTTTTTAAATTTAATCTGTAGCACTTGCTTTTTAACTCATTGATAGTTGTTGAATTGATCATATGATGACAATATGAGTCGCCTTGTTATATGTTTCTTGTGATTTCTTTGTTATTTATGATTGTGCTTACCCTCACCAAGTTTTTATCCTTGTCCTTCCATATAAAGAAATTGTCCTTTGTGATTTGTGCTAACACACCTTGTCTTATGTTTGTTGTGTTTGTGATTTCTTTGTTATTTGTGATTGTGGTAACCCTCACCAAGTTTTTATCCTTGTCCTTCCATAGAAAGAAATTGTCCTTTGTGATTTGTGCTAACACACCTTGTCTTATGTTTGTTGTGTTTTGTGTCAGCCCACACCAAGTTTTTATCCTTGTCCTTCCATAGAAAGAAATTGTCCTTTGTGCTCTGTCCTATGTGATCTATGTTTGTGTTAGATGAAGGTTTGTGGAGGTAGGCCAAGATGTGGGGGCTGTTCCATCTGTGTTTTTCAACACATTATATGCTTGGTCTGAATATACCAAAGTATTTGTTACTGCATCAACAATTTCTTTAGGGCCTCATCAACAATTGTTATGCGTTTTTCTTGATCTAGAATGATTTCATCATTTAGTTGTCTTTCCTATTCTGTATATTCTGTGCAACCATTTCTTGCATATTGATTATGTATGCAACCATGCTTTTCTTGATTGGGTTGTTTTTGTATTTTATTTAATTTGGTTGTTTTCTATAGGGGTTTAAGAAATTTTCCAAGTCTGCAAGAGAACTAGTAGACCGAATGCAGAAGATTGATAGTCCATGAGGAAGTAAGTTTATCCATTTGCCTTTGTCGTTATAGTTGGATCTGATTTTATCATGAACTGCATTTATCATGCAGTTCTACTTGTGTCCGTGGTACCTTGCAGTATATTATACTGTAACCACGCTGCCATGCTTGTTGGGTTTGACTACATTGTCTTGTTTGTTGGGTTTGTCTGTACAGGAAGATGGGAAGGCCACCTAGCTCCAATTCTGCCGATATCAGGAGTGGGAGGCCACCTGAGCAAGTTAGAGCAGAACATGTCATTGCTCAAGCAGAGGGCCACCTTTCTTGATATTGCTAGGATTTGTGAACTCTTTGTGTGAGTGATTGAAATATTTATGTGTTGATAATTTTAGTTGTGAAGCGTGATGGTAATTTTCATAACAAGGATGACTCAAAATTTGTTATTTTTTTGCAGCTTGCAACAAAAAAGAAAAATGACAATACAATTGAAACCATGGATGAAGCATATGGCAGGTATGTATGTCTGCACCAAGTTCTCTTAGCAGTAGCAATAGCTGTAGGCCACTGCATATGTAAACCAAACAACTTAAATATTCAGTTATGTAATTGCAGTTTGATGTAATGTAAATTGCAAGTGTAGGGCACTGCAATTTTAGTTATGAGCACGTGCAATCCATGTTTTATCAAGTTGTAGCCCAGTAGTCTCTTGCAGTAGCCTCAGATAGATACATTTCATTGTAGGTCTAAAGATATAATAGTACTAAATTTACAATTGCTCTATTACTAATAAATTACATAAATTATTTGGCCACTGTAATTGCAGCTATTAGCATTCCATCTCTTATTTTTGGTTTTCTCAATTCTTGACTTTCCCCTTCTTTGGTTTGCTTGCTGCACTTGCACTGCTACTATTTATTGGTGTTGTCAACATCTCCTGCATGATAATATCAACAACATTAGATGAATATACATATGAAGAAGTGACATCTGTTGTTGTAGTGCTAATATTTACTTTTTGCCTATGTTTCTCTGTGTTACCTGATTTCCTTTTCTTTGTTTTTTAGGCACAGAAGGAAGATGTTTTTTTGGCATGTCTTGATGTTATGCCCTCCTTCACGACAGTGTGTACAGGTAAAGTTGCTTTTTGCTTTGCTTCTGATGTCCTCAACTATTCCTATTTGCCTGGTCACTTTCTTGGGCCTTCCTCTTTTCTGAGCATTATTAGGGTCTTGCAAAAGCATTGTATCACTTTCTTGAGCTGATTCTGTTTGAGGTATTCTGACTGCATCATTAGCATCTTGCAAAACATTAGTACCACTTTGTTGAACAAATTGTGATTGTTGCAGTCTGACTTCATCTGCTAGTTCATTGAGTTTTCTTTGCATTCGCTCGGCTTCTTCTAGAACATAGTTGAATGTTTCCATTGTTCTTGATCCATCTGAAGCAATATTGCTCAACTTGTTTGACAATATGATGTGCCTCAATGGCCTGCTCTTCTCAATCTCTATTTCTGGTACAGTATTCTGCCTTGTCAACTGTTTCCTCTTTTTAGCCCTCCATCTTTCAATGAAATAACTGTCATCTAGCTGAGATATATTTAGGTTTGTGAGCACCTTGATGATATGGCAGCATATTATACCATCTTTTTCAAATTTGCAACACAGACATCTGTAGTTTTTCTGTGTCAAGTCTACTATCACAATGTATCTCCTTGTTCTGAACTCAAACTGCCTATGATACTCTGATTTTAACACTGCATAAACTTTATCTTTCTAGAGTTCTTGAGCCTCATACTTTGTTGCCAATATGAGCTCCTTTTGAAACTTAAAGAATATCTTTCTGTTGTACAGCCTTGCAGCCTGCCTTTCGAACTCATATGCCGTACTCAACCAAGGCATTGATCTGGTTTCAAAGTCCTGTTCTGCTTGATTCTTTTCTGTTGTATCTAAAATTCTTTGAAACTCATTCATAAATCTCATAATACTATACCTTGGTGTGACATCCAGTTTGAATAATGCATTTGTGCCTTCACTTCTCGCTGTAGAGTTGATGAAAGGGAAGAAATGCTTCTTGAAGTAACATGGAACAAAATTTTCCCTATTAAACCACATGTCATCAAGGTATCTGAAGCCACCGACATCATATGTTTGTGGCAACTTCTTGTACAAGTACTCAAACTCTGTTTCGGTCAATGAGTTCCTAAGAATGTCAAAGAGATCGTCATGCAGCTTCTTGTTCCTTTCCAATGAAAATATCCTGCCACCTTTCTCCTGAGCTTTCTTCACAATGTGGAAGAAGCAGTTCCGATGAATAGTGTCCGGTAGAACGTTTCTGATAACAGCCTTCATTGCTAGGTCCTGGTCAGTGATTATAGTTTTAGGGTGCTTTCCTCCCATACAAGTCAGCATTGTCTGAAACAACCACTCAAAAGTTTCTGTAGTTTCATCCATTATGAAAGCGCAGCCAAACAGGCAATTGTCCCCATGACCTATAATACCAACAATTGGTGCAAACTTGAGGGAGTACTTGTTTGTGTTGTAGGTTGTATCAAAACTGATGCAATCTCCAAATTCTTCATAGTACCTTCTGCTTGTACCATTGGACCAGAAAATGTTTTTCACTTTGTTGTTTTCATCTATGGAAAACTTGTAGAAGAACATTGGGTCCTCAGCCTGTTTCTTAGAGAACCAGTCATACACTTGCTGCATGTCATTATCCGATGTTGCCTTTTATCTTTGTCTTCTCATTGCTGATATGTTTCTTGTTGTATGGAGTGACATCCCCTCTTATATAAGATAGGACTGCCATAATCTTCCTATCTGGTAGGTTCACTTTGTTGAATGTTGCAATAAGTTCCTTCTCCATTTCAGTCATCCTAATCTATGAAAACAGTTTATTCTTCTGATCCTTGCTTGCAAACGCATGATTATGCTCAAGATTCAACCTGGTTATTGTCCATTCTCCATTCTGTAGTGTGACAAGTTCAGCGGGGCACTCGGTTGGTACAAGCGTGCTTGTTTTCCATTTGTTTGGCATAGGATTAGGTGTTGGCGGTGTATCAGAAATCTTCTTTTTGTTCTTTCTTGCGCTTTGGACTCCTGAAACCGAAATCTTCCTTTTGTTGTTTCTTGTGCTTCGTACTCCTGAAACATCAGTGCTATCATCCTCCTTTCTCTTACCAGACAAGTTACACTTGTATGTGACCCTTGTTACCTAGCCATAGTTGTGATCTTTCTTGTCTTGGCACTTGTATGTGTGCTATTTGACCAATGAAAACCCGACTATAAATGCGTAGTCATTGTAGAAACTGTACGCATCTTCTGTTGTTTTGAATTTCATGCCTAGCTGAGGAACATGCCTGCTAGCATGTTCCTGAGATAAACGCTCAGCTGCCATAATACTTTGGCTTTCAATCTGAATTGCCCTGAGCTCTGCTTCATCTTGTTCTTCACTTGCTACTAGATGTTGTTTTGTCGTGTTGCCCTCTGTATCTTGCTCCCCTTCACTGCCTTGTTCATCTTGTCTTTCCTCATGTACCATGTTTTCTTCATTTGCAAACTCTAGTACTGCTTCTGATTCTTTATTTCGCAGGCCGCCTGCATCATCTTGTGGCAGCTCATAGATTCTGCTGGTAGTGATGAACATCCGGTTCTGTTTTCACCGGTAAGGAAAAAGGTGTACTGTTAGATATTTCATCTTGTATTGTAGCAAATAAAGTAATTTAGCTGTATATGTAGAGTACAAGTAAATACCTCTAGTGGAAATGGCTCATTGAGTATGTCCATGAAACTTCCTGTCATTTCAGATGACAAAAATTCTTCATAATTCTGATTTGAAGATTTAGCCTGAGCTATGACTTGGTTCATAAGGCTTGTATAGCTTGATCCGCCCTGTGATAGTACATAACTTGTTCCTCCTGGTGACATGATCACCTGCAAATTTTGGGGTTCACCATTATAATAAAATCTTAGTTCTTTTGTTAGTACCCATTTTTTTAAAAAAAATTGTGAAATGCGAGTTTTAGGAATCTCACTTCTTGTCTCTGCATTTCTTGTTCTTGTCCATAGCTGTTGTAGTTCACTGGTGGTATTGAGCTCTGCTGTTACAGCATGAGGTCAGTCAAATGCCAAGGAGATAGAGAGGAAGACAAAGTAGTGGAATAACACATTGAAGCAAGACAAAGTAAGTCAAACTAGTAGCGCCTGCTGCATTATTATTATTATATTTTTTGCACAGGGTTTGACAAACTTATATATGTCACACTGACAATATGTGTTATAAGTTGAATTCCTTTTTCGCTCATGAGTATTGTTGGCATTTTCAATGTTTGTATGAAACATGTAGTAGCTCTCAGGATTGAATTTCACTTCTCTTTCGGACACACCCTGCATATGAAGAAGACTATCCTGTCCATAACAGTTGTAGTCCAGTAGTGCTGATGAACTATCCTATTCATTACAAACAAACAAAAAGAAACTCAAATATCAGTAGTTGCAATTAGAAATAGTCTAAATTACAAGTTTGTAGCATTGCAATTGTAGTTTCCTTAATATGTAATAACTGCAATTTTTATTTACCTCATTAGTATAATTGGGGTTTACAATATTTGAATCAAAATTGTAGTAACTTTGAATATTGACTTCTAAATCTCTTGCTAAAGCACTCTGCATATATTAAGATAAACCGATTAGTGAAAGCAACACTGCCAAAGCACTTTGCATATAATAAGATAAATCAATTTTTCAAACCTGTTCACAATGTTTGTTAGCTATTATCTCTGATAATTGTGTAAGTTCCAGTCCAGTGTCATCACATCCAATACCCATTTCCCTTAAGAAGTCTTCATCTCCTATTTGATGCAGTCCTTCGTTGTGAACCTGCATAAAAATGCAACAAACTGTTATTTTTAGTGTAAGAAGATCTTTTGCATTGCAGTCAGCCATAGGCAGTGACATTTGTGGTGGTCATCTAAACTTACAACCAAAACAAGTTTTCTCTGAATTCTATACAAGTTCCCCCTAAATCCTATACAAGTTGTCTTTAAATTCTATACAAGTTGCCCCTAAATCCTTTACAAGTTGCCTAGGTTCATAACTCATTGTTCTTATAGTCATCAACCACCATGTAGGCATGGATTCCACTAGATTTGCTCTATGGTCACTGTTATGATTTGTAATTATTGGAGACAGATAACTGGAAATCTAAATTGGTTTGACAAGTGTACTTTACTTTGGATAACTATAGAGCTATAGCAACAGCAACAAAGAAGACAGAAGCAAGATGGTTACGGTTCAGGTGTTTCAGTGAACTGATGCAATGAGAAAAAGGAGATGAAGGCAAGAAATAGAATAATCTTGCTGGTTAGTACCTTTTTCCTAGGCAGATCATATCCTTTGCCCTTGTTCATCTTCTTGTGTTTTACCTGTGCATTTATTCTCTAATTTTCGCTCTTCTCTCCACTCTAATTCCCCTTCTAGATCCAGATTGATCGGGGGTTTCTTTCTTGCTGGAGGGTGTAGTGGCAGAGCTGTAATTTCTGTGTACTGTTTTATTGGGCCGAATATTGGGCCGAATAGCTGCTTTGTGGCTGGAATGAGTAGTTATTTGATATAGCGGGTATCGGATCTTGCACCCGTTAAGGTTTGGCGGGCCCGGTAGCTGCTTGGGTTGGGTTTGCGGGTTCATTTGCGGACCCGTTTTGTTGCCTGCTACAGAAAAACAACAGAGAACAGATCTGACCCTTGGATGCAGATCCAAGGGCCCTGGACGTCGCCTGAGATGGTTCATATATTTCAGGCGACTGAAATATAGCAACTCCCATAAATAATATATATCCTCTACATAGTATTAGGGTAATAATTCTTTTGAATTTTTTTAATGTGGGTGAATCACGAGATGCTGCACTATGGAAACACGTGGAAGTGAGAGTAAACAAACAAACAGAACACTTAGACAAGCAAATAAATAGATGGAAGAGGAGTCACGAGAAACGATTCACTGGTTGCCTTCTCATTATAAAGGAGGCTTGTGGTTGCAGATTATTTCTTCTCTATACTCCATCCAAAGGAAAGAAATAAAGACATCACATTTCTCCTCCCTATTTCTATATGTTCATATATGTGCTCTATGTGTGTGTGTGCATAATTGATCGATAGAACAATTTCTTTAAAAACTATTAAGGATAAAGATCCCTTACCTATAGTTAATGAGTTATTGGATGAGCTATATGAGGCAAAAGGGTTCACCAAACTATATCGTCGATTTGGATATCTGGGTTGCAATTAGGGATGAGTACAAACCTGTATTCAAAACTCATCATGACTTGTTTGAGTTCAAAGTTATGCCACTTGGGCTCACTAATTCCCTAGCTTCCTTTCAAGGTCCTATAAATTCCATTTTTCTCCCCTATTAAGAAAAGGTGTACTGGATTTCATGGATGACAATTTGATGTATAACTCTACTTTGGAACAACATGTGGCTCTCCTTCTCCAAGTCTTTGAGATTTTGCAGCAAAATGAATTCCATCTCAAACTATCTAAATGTGCTTTTGCAACTGGAGCTCAATATTTGGGGGCACATCTCCTCTGTTGTAGGTGTGCCAACAAAACCAACAAAAGTTCCAGCAATTGCAACATGGCCTTCTCCCAAAATAGTAAATGATTTGAGAGGATTTTGGGTCCCACTGGTTATTACAAAGGGATTTATTAATCATTATGGACTCATCACTAAGCCTTTGAAAAATATATTGAGAAAGTGTACTATTTTTCACTGGACCCCATTAGCTCAACAAGCCTTTGACATTCTGAAACAAGCCCTCGTAAATGCTCCAATGCTGGCTGTTCCAAACTATCACAAACCATTTTGTGATTGAAATTGATGCTAGTGATGTGGGTTTTGGAGTTGTTTTGATATTTAAGCAATTCCTTGAGCCCTAAAATTATAAAAACAAAACTCTCTCTCCATATGAGAAAGAATGTACGGCCATTTTACTAGCCGTAGAAAAGTGGAGATCATGTTTGTTGGGACAAGAGTTCACTATCAGAATTGATCATCAAAGTCTCTGATACCTTACTAAGCATAAGGTCACCACCCAGTTGCAGCAGAAAAGCCCTTCTCAAGCTTATGGACCTCAATTTCAGAATATAGTAAAAAAAAGGTACTTTAAGTGTAGCAGCTAATGCCTAATCTAGGTGTGTTGTCCCTTAGTCTATTACTGTATTTCGACTTGATCACCTATATGGTTAGAAAGACTACAAACTAGATATTAGCATGATTCTAAAGCTAACAATTGCTAACACAATGGCTCTATGTGATAGCAATGATAGACGATATTCTCTCTTCAATAGGATCATTCGGTACGAGGGCAGAGTTTGGGTGGTTAACTATTCCCTCGCTCAAAATCACATTTTACAAGCCTTGCAAGCTAGTGGATGTTGGTGGACACTAGAATTCATGACACTTATCACAAAATTAAAGGTCTACTAGGTAGCGTGCCCGTGCGTTGCTTGGGGATAGTTAACAATTTGTATTAAAAACACACGGATCGCACGATAAGATAACAATACTGTAAAAATTAAATATCAACATTAAAGTGACAGTTAATCCAAAAAATAAAGTTTGTGAAATTAACAGTCACAGAGAGCGCGGCGTCGCAGGCTTATAAACTATACTTTATAGACCTTTCCGTGATGCGCCTAAGATAATATTTTATATCGGCAGGAAGAAATCTCCGATATCCATTTTTTCGTGCGCCAATAAATCCACGAATAAGTTCCGCCGTATCTCCATACCATCCTGTACACAGGCTCGAGTATATATGTCAATATTAGTGCCTGTCGCATGGGTAATACTACGTCTCTTGAAAAATCTTCCACAAAAACTTAAAACAAAGTGTTATACTCACCGTATAAATATGTGTGGCTTTTGATCTATTCCACGTAGACATATACTGTAAAATAAGATATCCACTTAAGTGTCTGTGGCAAGATTCACGATCAGCGATATATAGAAATAGTTAAATCGTAGGTATTATTATTGCAAGCCAATAGTGACTCTGAGTTAGTTACCCATCTATGTCCTCTGCAATGTTTCCTTCCCGTCTGAATTTTCATTTGAAGATATCCTCATTCCATCCAGAAATTTGTACATTTATTGCGTCCGTGTACTACAAGGTAAATCCAAGAGTGTACCTGGCATACATCAGTGCTGGTGTGTCTTTCGGGCCATTTGTGCTCTTTCGGACATGTCTCCTCCAATATGAAATCTATCTATTTCCGTAATCCACCTCGCTATTTGTTCATAGAAGAACGAATCAATCAGCATTTCTAAAATATAAAATGTGTACAAATAGCTGTGTTAGGAAATACCCACAATTTTATTGAGGTCAGCACGTCTGAACATCTCGCCCAAAGAGTCTAGCACCTGGACCTTACGTTTTTTGACGTTTATAACAGGAAGGTACCAATGTGTATTTGTAACATTTATTGGAAGGAACACCTATCAAATCAAACAATAAACATTTTGCTAGGCATAAAAAATTGATAATGAAAGACCAATAGATCGTTTAAATGTATTGCTACCATGCCATGCTTCAAGTAAGTTAGCACCCTTTGAACTAAACCAGGATGCTGTGAAGTGCCACGGTTAGGGTAATTGGCTTCAATGGTCTCATCCTTTTCTCCATCCCGCTTCATGATTGCAACTAAGCACGTAGTTTCAAGATAGACTGTTTCAAACACTCCTGGGCCTTCAGCAGTTTAATATAAGCATCTATGACCACCTCATGGATTCCTCCCGCTCTAGCGCTACGTGGCTCCTCACGACATGCTCCATGCATGCCGTGCGCATGGTCTGGCAACTGCAAAGACACACACACGGTACAGGTAGACAAATTAAATGTGTGAGTAATGCGACTCATGCGTGGGTGGACTGCGGACATGTACGTGCCACGGAGGCTATAGAGGTCCTCCATCGGGTGTGGCGAGGTAGTGGCGACAAGCCCGGCGATCTCGATGACTATTTCATAAGGGAGCGCCAGTAGCGTCCGCCGCGCCACCTGCAAGGAACTGCTCCGGATGGAATTCGTCAGGGTCTGTCCATACCTTGCTGTTCCTCCCGATCTTGTGTATGTCCATTATGACGCTCGTTGGCATGCTGTCGTTGCCCTGCTGGACAAACCCTAGGCGGCGAGGAGGGCAGCAGATGAGGAAGCCTGCGAGCCGAAAACGATGTCGGCGAAGATACACGTGTCCCCCGGGTCGGCGACGAGGCAGGTGCAGTCGGAGACGACTTCCATCTAGGGTGTTGTTTTGTTTAGGTCTTTTGACCCGTAAACGGATATCGGCCTATACAATCTCATTACCACTCCTCACCAAACGTTATCTCTCTCTCTATCTCTCTCTATCTATCTATCTATCTATCTATCTATCTATGTGTCTGTCTGTCTGTCTGTCCTCTATTTTCCAAGACGAACACGTCCTGACTTCACAGACACTAAGAGAATTCATCATTGTGGGGTACATCCCATAGGAGCTTGGTCCGCCATCGCTGAGGCCATCTTCACAGTGCGGCGGCTCGGTCTGAGTAGGGGAGGACACAGGACAAGATAGAAGTTGTGTGGATGAGAATGTGACATCGATTTTTTTCTAATAGGACTCACTGTACATGCTACCCTATAAGGCTAAAGTTGTATTCTTTGTGGGACAAAGCTAGATAGCTAGAATTACATGTTACTTGGAGATGTTAAAGTTTTCTACCAAATACTTGTTGAGTATATGTAACAAAAAAATACTAATATTTTTTATAGTAACCTGGTGCTGTTGCTGCTTAATTTGCTGGTGCCACACATCCATATCTCCGGCCTGATCAGTGATCCCATAGCCATATATAGCTAGGCCAAGCATATTGACCAGCTGTCCTCGCTCTCATGGCCGCATGCAGTTGGCAATAAGCTGGGAAGAAAAGCGCGATCGCTGGGGATAATTATTCGATGGATCAGAAGGCAACAAGCTAGCAAGCCAATCTAGGAATGCATGAAATTGATGGATGTAGGGCATGCATGCATGTGATGATGTGAATCGATGTGATGGATATTGTGGGAGACGTGGAGAGCCCTGCGATGCGATGCAGGTACTCTTGCTGTCTACAGTCGATCGACTACCTGCTTTTGTCACTTTTGCATTTTGGTTCGTGCCCATGTGTTACTACAGAACAGCTAAACTTTTATAACAAAAATACACGGATCGCACGATAAGATAACAATATTATGAAATTAAATACCGACACTAAAGTGACATTTAATCCAAAAAGCAATATTCGTGAAATTAATACAATCATGAAGAGCGCAGCGTCGCAGGCTCACAAATTCTACTGTATAGACCTTTCCGTGATGCGGCTAAGATAATGTTT